GCATCATACCTGCACCGTTTTGGTAAGCAGATCGATAGCACCTGCAATTGTGATGGACAGAGTGAAGACGATGCGCTACATTTTTTCTTCAGCTGCAACAAATACAACCAACAACGTGCAGAACTCTTCCAAGAATGTCTCCAAACAGGACTCAACTGACCCCCCAATCCTGCAGACATTCTTGATAACAAAAAACTATGGACAAAAATAAAGAATTTCATACGCAATACAAAAAAACTCAGGCCCACGAATTCCAGTAGCCAGCGAGATGAGTGACACGGCCACATCCCACATCTGGACCAATAATAGACTGGCTGATATAATTTAAGGTAGGCCGGCTACTCGCCCAAATTGTTCAACCCGCGATTTGACTGTACTGGCATTAAATTTTTACAGAAATTAAAATTGAAAGGGACTGTTTGATATTGTTTATTTTATTTTGTAATAATAATGGGAATTGTAAAATATAAAGGCTCTTCTGAAGTATTAAAAATAAACTAGAAAAATTGTTTTTAAGGAAATTTTTTGAAAGTGTTGGGTGGGCACCCTGATAAAGCTGTAAACCGTAAAATTTAAAATTTTCAAGTAAACTGAATCATTTTTTAAAAACGTTTAAAATTTATGTTTATTTGAATTATGGAACCTTTTATATTTATTTTTGTAAGAATTTTATATTTCTGTTAAATAAAAAAAGTATTATAAATTTATCAAATTATTGAATAAGAACAGATAAGAATATTGTAAAAATACAAAAGAATAATAAAAAATTTATAATTTTTTTTTCTTTTTTAATTTTAAAATAGGTAGTGAAAGTAGTAGTGAACATAGTATTCCAATTCAAACACAAACTATTAATACACTTTTAGCAATGGATAGTAAACAACCAGGTGTTTTAGTTCAAAAAATTTTGAAAAATATTGAAGATCAGGATATGAGAATTGATACTGGGCAGTTTCATCCAGATGCTTTGTGGAAACGTCAATTAGCAGGGTATGTTAAATGTACTTCATAATTATTTATGTTAAAATAATTTTTTTTATATTTAATGTATATACAATAGAATACCAATTATTCAAAATAATTGCAATCAAAAATTTTAAAACAACAATATTTATTAAAGTAAATGCAAATCTACAATTATAATTAAAATTTTTTTAACCTTTTACAATTGGCTTTGTCTTGAAAAGTCAGAGTAGATTCTTTTTAAAACTTTAGAAAACTTCTGCTTTCTTTGCTTCTTTGAGTACTGTACCATTGGTCAACCAAGATTCATGAAACAAATTGCAATGATGTGTGTGTTTCTTGTCTTTGTGGACAAAAGATTTTCTGTAATTTACCTTGAATATTGCAAAACTTTGTTCAGTTAACATGAGTTCAGTTTGAAAATGTGTCTCACCAGGGAATGCCACAAATTGCTACATGCACTTAGATTGATGAAGTATAAGACAGCTGCAGTACAGCCTGGTTAGTAATGCCTATCATTTCTAACTTGCTGACTCAGATATTCAATTTTCCTGTGTTCATTTTTCTTAAATAATTTATTTATTAGAATTAATTGAATAAAATACTTTTTATTTTTTTCAATTTGCAGTGGTTATAAATTTATTAGTTTGTATAATTAAAATTGAATGTACTACTTGTTCTTACTCTTGTTCTATATTTATATGTTCCAAACTTACTGACTAGAATTTGACTTGTAAGCTATAGAAATTACAGGCTGTCCAAAAGTTACAATATTAGGAAAATTAGATCATCAGTTTCTAGGTTTATGATTGGTCATCATGATCTTGTGGAATCTTAATTAATATTATTGAAATTCACCTTTAGAGCATTGGGCACTTGAAGGATTTCATTTACTAGTAAAAAGATTTAAAACATGGATTACCTGAAAGAAAACATTTGATGTTCAGTTAGGTTTATAACATCTTATGTGTTAACATGAGTTCAGTTTGAATGGGAGAGATGAATTTGTATGTTTTTAGAAACATCTAACATGTACAGATTATTTTATAAACAAAGTCACAATTTTTTAATAACTATTCAGTTTCCTATGTATTGTGACTTTCAGGATATCCTCTAGAACAAGAACAAAAGATTAAAAAAGTAATATATTTAATTTTAACTAAAGACAAAATATTAAATTTATAACTGCTACAAAATGAAAGAAAATAAAAGGGTGCTGGGATCTACACAATAAATAGCACTTAATTAAAAATGCATTTAGCAACTTGTTGCCTTCCAGTTAATAAGAACTCCACTATAATTATAAAAATAATTAAAACAATTGTTATAAAATATTTCTTTTAAAGTATAAAATTTTATATGTCAAAGGTCCTACTCAGACATCAATAGATCAGATTTGAGCATGAATCTGATCTGTCTATCAATTATATTTAACATTTTAAAAACTAATATTGACTAGAACATACATTCATTTCAACAGTATGGTTTTATTTTTTTCTGATTATTTCATATAAATTTTAAGTAAACTTCAAAATTGGTAAAAATAATGCAGCTGCATTAAAATAAATAAATAAATATATATTCTGCATGCACATACACTTGCATGTATGCATGGTGGTTCATTTTTAATTAATCCACTGAATAACTCAAAAAATTCATTAAAAAAGATGTTATCTTCAAGGAAGTCAAAGATGACAGATGGCATTATCAGTTTCATGATAACTTTCATCATAAATGACACCATAATTGGTGAAAGACAGAGTCAACTTCCTTTTCTTAAATTGAAAATCCCAATTTTTTATTGCATATTATGATTCTATATAAAAAAAAACTTTTATTTGAAACATTTTTCAAAAGATGCACTTATTAGAAGTTATGAGTGTTGAAACAGACATTACAGGAGTCTGTTCTGGCTTAAGTAGTACATATATTTGCTGTATTTTAAGCTTGTTGTTATGATATAAATAACTCAAATCATATGTAGAACTATTAGTAGATTATTTGCCAAATAATTATTAACCATAAATGCATTTTCTTTATTCCATGTGAGACTTGCTTACTGGGATCAAAATATTAATATAAAATAATCTAATGATTGTTTAAAAAATAGAAATTTAATAGAAAATAATATAAATTAAAATGAGTAGTTATTAAAGCATATTAAAAAATTTTGTAGATTTCAGGCAGATAATCTGCAGGTAATCTTCATGAAAATATGGTATTTAATTTTAAAGAAAAGCATATGCATTACATATTTTTATTATTTAATCACAAGTAAATTAACACAAGCAAATAAGAATATTGCTTGACATTTAATGCAAAATAATTGTATTTCTGTTGCATCTGGTATGATTCTCTAGTCAATAATTATGATGGGTAATAAATAAACATGAAAGAGTAATGAATTGGTTTTGAAAGATATACTTAAAATTATTCTATTGTGATCTGTAAGATCATGTTATATGTTAGGAATACAGTCGATCCCCCCATAACACGGTAGATACGTTCTGCTTTATAAGAATTTCGCGTTGTAGAAATCCTTAAATATGTGAGACAATCACAGCCCATCACGTGTGCAGTTTACGGACTACGACTGTTTGAAAGGTTTTCTTCCATAAAATTAATCGATTCTAAACTAATTCGACTCAACATTTCCAAATTACGTATAATTTTTTGGGAATAATCCGTATAAACTATGCTATAAATGAAAAATTGTAGGATTACTTACCAAGTGTGCACCGTTCGACGACGCCATTACTTTATATATAATAAGCTTGTTTTTGTTGCGGAGCAGCACACCAAACGGCAGCCGCGATTTCTGATAAGTTATTTTTCTGCGAAAAATTCTTTGAACTTTGGAGACATCATTAATATAAATAATTTTTATGGCCGTTGAATAAGAAATGTTTCTTTCACAAGAAATGTATAAAATTACAGTGCTGTATTAGACTTACGGTACCTAATTTACATACTGTACAGACAATAGTAAACTCAACTTACTCGCCTAAACTCTCCACAGTGTGGCGCTGGACTGCAGAAAGTATATATATATATAATTATAATAAAGTTAAAATAAATTAAGTTAATATTGTACAGACGATAGTAAACTCAACTTACCCATCTAAACTCTCTGTAGCATGTAAGTAGTTCGGCTGCTTGTCTACTATTGGTCCAGATTTGACCAATCCTGTTGCGACATGAGTCAGCGATGACGTTTTACCACGTTTTATGCGTCCCTTTTAGCATCTTTATATGAATACCGTCGCAACTTTTTCACCACATTATAGGAACCCACGTTATAGGGGGGTCTACTGTATATGAAATATTTTTAAAGCTTATATTAATATAGATAAGCTTGTAAAGTTTATCTGCTCAGATGAACAAATTTTGTTCATCTGTAGACAAACAATTTTAGTAAATCTATATTCTTTTAAGTGGAATTTTGAAATACTCATATAGTGGAGCACATGTACAAGAAAATAATAACAATGGATAGCAGTTTGTTTTGAACTGTCAGTAAATTGATTATGATTGTAATATTTAAATACTGCTGCATATTTTTAAAAATTTATTGTCACAGATTGTTGGTCCTTAATATAAAAATAAAAAATGTATTTAAAAAACTTAAGATTATCTTTTATATTAACAGTTTAATTCTTTTAATTTTTCAGTTTTTAAAAATTTTTGTAATGAAAATATGAATTTTGATTCATTTTTGTAGGAAACTACAAATGGCTCATATAGATGAATATGGAAAATTAACTACAGAATTTCAGCCAGAACCTGACAGAAAAACAGGTGATTGTGAATTATATGCGAGTGGAATATTTGACTAGAAATGATATTAATTAAAATTTATTTGAATTTCAGGATCACGTATATCAAAGGCAGTGAAAAAATTAGTTAATTGGGAAGAAGATAAGGTAAATTTGTTGTTGTTAAATAATTATATTATTTTTGATAAAATTAAATAAAAAATATAATACACATTTCTAAATATTAGATATTTAAATGCTGCAAATATTTCATTTAGATGGATAAACTTTTAGAACATGAAATTACATATTAATCATTGATTTTGTAATAAAAAAAAAACAACTTTGATAGTCAGCTACTTACTTTTTTTTTTATAAAGTTGTTTTTCACCATCTATGTAATAATTATTTAAAACATGTTAAAATATTTGAAGATAATTGTTTAGGATGAATTGAACAAATGATTAAGTTAGGCTAACTACCATGTTAGAACTTGGCTAATTAATTTTATGGATATTACATAATTTGAACTAAAGGTAGGCAGTTATTTTACTATTTTGTATTAAATGTAATAATAATAACTTTTGAATTAAATGAATTAATTAGACTATTCTGGAGGAAAGATTAATCTGGGACAAGACTTAAACTTGCAATTTCTGCTTGCTGTGCAAATGCATGGCCAATTATGTTATTTGAACCTTTGTCCAACTTCATTGCCAGACATTAATTTACAAGATATCCTATAAAAAACTGATGGATCCAGATTGAAAAGTAAAGCTCAGTGAAAACTTCTAAATAAAGGAAACTTTTGAAAGTTGTGGCATAAAAATACTGAAACCAGATTTGATGTAAGATTCAACATGTAAATAAAGTGCACATTACACAGACTATAACTATAGGAAATTTTAGATGAAGCAATGTCATTGTGATAATACACAATGACATTGCTTCAGGAATCATGAAAACACAAACCAAAATAATAAATGGATTATTATTTTATAAATACTTAATATTTTTAAATAAAACCTTCAAAAGGGCAAATAGGAGGCATCTCTTAAACATGTTTCATAACTTTGTGTTGCTATTCTCTCTTATTGTAAATCTAGGTGAAAAAATGCTAATCATGTAAATTCAAAATAATTCAATAAGTTTATTCAAAATTTAAGACATTCTTAGTACTCATAGTGAACACCAACTATCTTATAAATATGTTTTAAATCATATTCAGAAGTAAAAATGTGTTTTTTCTTTAAATTTATTCTTTGATAACATCTTCAAAGCGTCCACAATATATCACATTTGGCTTTCTTTTGTTAAATAAAAGAATCAGAAAATAAAAATGAGATTTTTTAAATATAATTTTAATAATTCCTTAATATAAGTACTAATAAAAACTATATTTTATTAAGCAAAATAAATAATTTTTGAGAATTTGATATCATATACATACAGATATCAATTTATTATCTCTGAAAACTTTTTTTAGAGTCAAGAAGATATGGCATGGCAGATTGCAGAAATGATTGTTAAAGATATTTGTGATATTACAATGGGACAAGATACTACTATAAAAAATAGTAATAATGGATGTTCAGGAGTTTCTTAGCTACTTAAAGGTAAATTTAAATAAAATACTGCACTATTAATAAAGTTAGCCTATTTGTTAGTTATTTAATGTAAGTTTCTTTTCATGTTAAATATTGCAAAGCTATTTTCAAAACATATACATCACTTTCAGTTCAGGAAGTTAACTGATTATATTTTAAATTTTTATTATTCAATAAATATTATTCAGATATGCTAGAAGCATGTTTGTTTTTATTGATGATAATTTTTACAGATTATCTGTTGTTTTGCTGTACAAGTCCTGTTGTCAAGTCCATTTGATTGCTGATAGTTCATAAATTATTTATCTGAGAATTTAGCAATACATAGAGAAATATTATATAGAATGATTCTGGGATTTCTAAAATATATATTATTATAGTGATTTGAGTTATTTCAAAAATGTAATGGCAATATTGTGATCAATAAATGACAGAATTCTACAAAAATAGATATGAAGACATCAGTTCAAGAATGATATATATCCATAAAGAGCTGGTTTTGAGCTATTAATGATTTTGCCCTCTTCATGTATCACAATCTGTTTGTACAATAGATTTTAATATATGTCACACCTAATTGTTTGCTATCATAAATGTGAAATAAGGGCAGAATTTCTGTACATCTGAAAACATGGGTTGATGGACTTATATTCTTCTTGAACCAACTTCTTATATAATATATAAAAGTGAATGCTTTTTAGATTACTTAAAAGTTTTTGTTAAGCACTATAAAGAATAAATTTTATATATTTAATGTTTCATTTCACCATGAATTATATATGACTTGTATTCAATGCATAGAAAAATGTAGTAATGTTGAGAATCCTTTATTCAAATTTCAAAAATTGAAAACCTCCAAAATCTGACAGTTTTTTGAGTGCTGTTTCTTTGATTACTATAAAGAAAAATTTCCATACAGTACTGGGAATATTCCAGTATTTTCGCCAAACACTTTTGCCAAGTACACTGCCTAGCTGGTGAACTTGATGAGAAGTATATATACAGGGTATAACAAAGTGCCATGCTAATATTTTAGGGATAGATTCTAGTGTAAAAAATAAGTTTAAAATCCTCTGTGAATATCTTTCCAAATTTGCTTTGTTTTTTGAATCTGGCCTACCAAAAAAAGATACTTTTCAAATTCCTCACCAAAGTATTAAAACTATAGTTATCAACTGTATAATTTATAGTTTCTTATACAGTGGGTGATTGATTAATGAACATAATCCATTCCAAGACCTTGTTTGTTAGCTGATTATTGATTTACCATAGATTTTTATGATAATTTGATTAATTTGTTCTGGAGACCCCAAAAAAAAATTCTATACTTTCTTACTACATTTATTTACATGTAATAACAAACTAAAAGCAATCTCTCCATTTTTTCATGGATGGCACATCTTTGTTTCTCAGACATGATTTTCATTACTCCTTTATTTGCTTGAGTCTTTTTGATTATATTTTTCTTAGCGAAGATTGTTCTTACTGTAGACCTGTTGATCATATTATTTGCTAAAATCAGACATTTTCCCACTCTCTACATTGGCTATTATCTCTTGCTTAGTTTCTATAGTGAACACAGATCTCAACACTCCACTCTTTTTAGTCCCCATAATATTATCAGTTTTCTTAAATAAAAAGTTCAGAAAAGCACTTACAAAAATTCAGAGAACAGAAATTAACTAGTGCGAAAAAGGTTATGTATACAACTGTGAAAGTCTCGTTCAATAACCATTCATAGATGCCATTAAAATATAGTTTTACAAATGTTAAATGCAGCATCGTTTCTTCTTGTGTTTGCTCTGTGAAGTGTTTATTATCCGAACATGTGTTTGTTGTCAAACAACAAAAATCTTTTGCAAAAGTGTTCATTGTTTGATTTGTTTGCAGTCCGAACTGTTTGTTAACCAATTACCCACTGTACTTCTATCAACAGATTGAGGTAAATAAATGTCTCCCAAGTAGACCATCCTGTAATAAATGTAAACAATCCATTTTAAGATTTTGCATAATCCACCTACTTTATGGTAAAAAAAAAAAAATGGAAAAATTGGAAAGCAGGTGTTTTTCAACATAAATGTACTCTGAATAACATTTCATTTTTTACAAAATAAAACAGTATAATTTACAAAAACTGCTCAAAATGTTCTCCACCTCTGCAGATGTGGAGGACATTTTAAACAGTTTTATTTCCATGTACTCAAAAAGCTTAATTTTAAAATATTTTAAAATAAAGCTTCAGTTTGTATGTATTGGTAACACAGAAGTGGTAAACAAACAGCAGTATTCTCTTGGTGGGTGGTTTAAAATTGGTTTCTTATATAATTTAACAGGCTAGATCTCAAAAATGTAGTGGAATTTAAAAAATGTTTGTAGAGGATTTTAAGCTTATTTTTGACTATAGAATCTATTCCTAAAATATTGACATGAAGTTTCAGTACATTTTTGTATACAAAAGATGTCAGTTTTTTCATTTTATTGGAATGTAGTTTCATCACAATTTTTAACGTAAGTTTTCCAGAACACATTAAAAATTTAAACAGATAAATGTTCTTTAAACAGATCAGTTAACACCTCTGTGTGAATATGTTATGTAAAATTATTTTAACATGTCTATGTGAATAGCTTTTAAAAATATTTTTACAGGTGTACAAAAATTAAAAATTTTCATACATGTTAATTTCATATGTTAATTTTAAACTATCTATTGTGATAGTTTAAAATTAACATATTTGTATAAATGTGTGAAAATGTTTAATTTTATTCATAATTATTGTATTTTAAGGAATATAAGAAGCACTCCCATTTCAACACAGAATATTTAGGAAAAAATATTTAGTGTATTTAAGCCATCCTCTGTCTTTGGTATTGGACTCTCAACTTTTTTTTTTACTGTATTCTGGTTAAAAAAAGTAAAATTTTGACAGTAAAATTTACTGTCAAAATTTTCTACATGGATACATACAAAAGCTGCTTAGCTATAACAAATGATAATAAAGTAAAACCTCTAATCTCGAATTCCTCCTTAAATATTTATTTATTTTTTTTATTTAGTACTAGGTACAAATACCCTTTATACAGGGTGTCCCATAAGAAACAAATGCAGTAAATAAATACAGTAAAAAGGTAATCTCTGTACAAAGTCTAAGTCTGTACAAGCAAAAATCAAAACATAATATACAATAACAATTACATATATACAACAACCTATGCATAATAAAACTTCAGTACATAAATATATATCCAGTGCAAAAATATAATTACAAAAAAATAACACGAAATTCCATACATGATAATTAGTAAATATTATTCCAAGCATACACAATTAACTAGTAAGCAAATTGTGATGACCTGATGCCATGACATTAGAAATGAACAAAATTTCAAAAAATAATAAAACAGAACTAATAGGTAAATTTATTTATTTAATTTTTATTTTCTGGAAAAAATATGAAAATAAGAAATATGCAAAACAGGTTAGCAAGAGGTTGTCACAGTCAACACCAAATTAATCCCCAAGAGAGCTGAATCCAATGCTTTTTTTAATACTGAATGACACTGCCACCCTCTGAAATACAAATTAAACACAAGCTTTATAAAACAGAGAAATAAAATTAAATATATTCAACATGTTAGCAAAAGAAAAAGATGTAATATATGAAAAATCCATCTGAGATAACCTAAGCTTTCTGAAATACTGTTTTTGTTCACATGCAAACTTAGCGCGCACACAAACAATATGGAAGGAATTCTTTATTGTAAATTCATTGCAAAAGGAGCATTTATGATTCTCAAACTCTTCAAATACAGAACCAAATTACCTCTAACAGACAAAAACATCTTAATAAAATTGAAGAAAAAATTTGAATTTAAATATTTTTCTGTCATAAAACCTATTTCTGCTGGTTGATATCAGAAAAAGTTGTCATTCAGAGTGATCTTATTTCTAAACTCCCACTGTAATAAATCAGAAACATGCAGCATAAAATCTGAACAACAGAAATCATTATTATACCACTGAGAATAAGATGATCCATAATGGCTAAACAATTTTTTTACTCCACCTCCCCAATCAGAATTAATGTTGAAAAGAAAAGTCTTACAAGTTTGCACCAAAGACAATTTATGGTTCAAACTATCTAGCCACCTCAATACTTTCTTAATAATAATAAAGTAAATGGAACATCTACCAAATTCTAATGCTAAAAAAATGATGTGGAATCCACTGTCCTAAGCAGTAAACATGTCAAATAAAATTCCATTGGATAGCTTCATACTTTGTATTCCAGTCATAAAACCATACTTTGGCACTATACAGCACAACAGATAACAACTGAGATTCATATAAACAAAGTTTGTTACTCCATTTGACCAATCTCCCCTTCACACAAGTTTGGATAATCTTAAATGACAGAGCTTCTGTCTTCTTCCTCATTAAGTCGAGATGTTTGACAAATCTATCATCTGAACAAAATAATACACCCAGATATTTAAATTCTTGTACCACTTCAATGTTACAATCTCTAAAAAACCACTTTTCTTTAACAGAATCCATGCCTCTTTTCCTAAAAACCACAATTTTCTATTTAGCCAAATTAACTTCCAGTGTCATGTTACAAACAAATGACTTCAAAATATTAATTATCCTCTGTAAGTTCATTACAGAATCAGAGACCAACACACTATCATCAGCATAAGCCAAAATTTTCACTTTGACCCCCTCAAAATCAAAGCCAGAAGCATTGGAATTATTAACTTCCATAATCAAGTCATTTAAGTAAAAGTTGAAAAGCAAAGGACTAAGAACACAGCCCTGACATACACCTTTCCTTGTATAAAAAAAATTTCGTATTACCTCTTACTGTGTGTGTACACAGGCAGAAGAACTGTACTAAGACATTCCTCCTTAAATAGAACTTGATCGTTGTTCCTGGCAAATAACCTGTATATTATACAGGTATACCTTGCCTTATGTCGGTAATTAGTTCCAGGAAAGCAACGCAAGTCGAAAAATGACATAAGTTGAATTTACTTGTCTCCGAATCTACTCGTTACTAGGCTAAATCATAAATTACCATTCCCGGTTCTGTATTTTATTTATTAATGTATTTTTAATAATGTATGGTTAATAAGGATCTATTTTAAGCTTACAAACAAATAAATTTTAGTTTTTAATATAGTACAGATAAAAAGTAATCTAAATTTATGAATGCATGTACTGTAAATACAGTACATACTTGTAAATTTATATATTTTAATATGATTTTATGTGCTTTAAACACTTTTCTAGTGATATTACGACTTTAATATTTGTGGCGGACAGACGTAAAGTCGAATAAAATGACTTAAACTTGATTTNGTAAATACAGTACATACTTGTAAATTTATATATTTTAATATGATTTTATGTGCTTTAAACACTTTTCTAGTGATATTACGACTTTAATATTTGTGGCGGACAGACGTAAAGTCGAATAAAATGACTTAAACTTGATTTTTATTTTTCCATATACTTTTTTGACAAACGACGTATAATCGGGAACGATGTAACTTGAAACGACGTAAGTCGAGGTATACCTGTAATGTATTTTTCTACTTTTCTAGTCAAACAAAATTTCACACATCTCAATGTTGTCCCTCAAGTCAAACTAGGCAAACTTATCAGGTACCAAAGTTTACAGGTAGCAAGCAAACCTAAGTTTACAGGTTGACCATTTCTAATTTGGCATCATTGGGACATGTAGGGTCCAAGATAAGTGATTTTGTCAGATTATTGATGGTTAGATTAGAACGCACATAACCCAACAGCTCACCACATTATTTACCTCATATAACACAACACTCATCCTACCTTTGAAATGTGCGGTAAATCAGTATATATCATTAATAAGAGAAACCTGTCACCAAAGAACTTGAGCAATTTTTCTCTGTTTCTTTGTGTCATAAACTGCAGACAGGCTAATGCTGTATAAATCACACAGGCTTTGTACAGATATGCCACTGTTAAGTTTTTCAGACATTTGACATTATCTGTTACGGACAATGTATGGTGTTTGTGCTTCACGCCATGAGAAGTACTTTCTGTATTTATTGGAGCCATAACTGAAACTAAATGTTGGCAGGTTATAATAAAAATGCATATAGCAGTAATGAAAATGCTTGTTTGAAAATGCTCAAAAACAGTGTTTGAAAATGCTCAAAAACAGCTTATGAAGCAGCTAGTACCACCAACTATAGTGCAGTGACCCAGGAAATTTGAATTGCTCTCATGGAAATTAGTGCTGGATGGTCAACCTGTATTAAGTTTCATGACCCTTTTCAGTCCATCATTTGGTAAAGTAGCCTTAATATATCTGGATAAGTAAGCTAATGATAACAGAGTCGTAATTTAGTGGAAAATTTGTTAAATCTAGCTTTCTTGTACCATTTAACTCAGTGTTTCCCAAAGTGGGGCGTACGCCCCACAGGGGGGCAATTTGATGGTTGGAGGGGGGCAATTTGAGAATTGACATGACAATTTCTTCCCTTCGCNTAAGAAATCGCTTTAAAATTATCATTCATATTACTAAAAAGAACAAAAATAAATTTTATAACTAAAATTATGTATGGGGGGACATGATGATTTTAGAAATGTTAAAGTGGGGCATGGCCTAAAAAAGTTTGGGAAACACTGATTTAACTGCTTGACAAAGTTGTTCTCTGCATGGTAGAAATGTTAACGGTATTTATTTATTTATTTACTTTTTGTCACAGTGGGCCGAGAAGAGACACTGTAACACCTAAAGTTTATTAGTGTTTTTTAATTTTCATTGAAGAATACTAATTTTCTCATAATATATACTTCTATTTGGAGAAGAATTCTTCATTTGTGGCAGCAATTTGAAATTTTGTCTTCAGTACTTCATGAATTCAGTCTTTTACATTAATAAAGATCTATTTGCTAACCACCTAAGTGTTTTACTGTGGATAATTTATGAAATTTATTTTGGAATTTGCTTTTTGAATAAATTCAATATAGTATAGAGAAGCAATTTTGTGATATACTTAAATTCATGACATTTATTTTGATCATTATCACAGCCTCATATATTGTTCAAATAATGATTTTAACAAATAATATGAACTTAAATATATTGCAGAATTTCATCTCTTATTGTACTGCTTTGTACTTTGTATCTGAATAAAAATTTTTCTATTTTTCATTTGCCTTCATATATACAACTCTCTAAAACTTGAACTATTTTTTGGTTCCTTCATATTTGAGTTTTAGAAGTATAACTGTAGTAATAATAATAATAATGTTTAATTAAGCAATAACATTTTTTTTTTTTTTTTGATGATATGAAACTGTGCTTTACAATTTGTTTATGCTTCTAAGAACACAATAAAGTGCTATAAATTAAGACACTTGGTGGGTTTTCTCATCTTTATTTAGTATATAAAATAATCAACTAAATAAAGATGAGAAAACCCGCCAAGTGTCTTAATTTATAGCACTTTATTGTGTTAGAAGCATAAATAACATTTTTATTCAAGAGTGGCTATGTAGAGGTTAGTTGACACTTACTGAAACCTATTTGGGAAATTCATTAATCTATGGAAGATTGAAACTTTGCGTATAAGACGCAGGATGGTTTTTTTGCTTTTTAAGCCTTTGTTTTGAACAAAAGTTACGTTTTATGTACCATAAAATACAGCAATAAAAATCCTTAAAGTGATGTAAAAAAAAGAAAATCTTAAAATTCTTAAATCAGTCTAATGCAAATATACAAATATTCCAGAATCTGGAACACTTCCAGTCCCAAGCATTTCAGATAAAGGATTCTCAATCTGTATTTAAATGATAAATTTTATATTTCAGTAACATACATGTATTGTATATTAATTTCATTACTTTAAATAATTTTTAGGAAGCCAGAGATATGATGATATTTAGAAGATGGATAATGATTTTGGTGAATTGAAAAATTAAATTTTCCATATTTATTAGCATCTGCCTTTCTTTTTTGTGATATGAGGTAGGCATAAATAAATGTTTGATTACTGGTTGTCTTTCAAGAAGACAACTATAAAAGTACAAATAGTTCATTTGTGAATTTAAGACAAGGTCACAAATTATGTAAAAAGAAAAAATGTTAAATGTGATTTGCAAGCTTTGTTGAATATTGGAATGTTGTCAATAATCTCCCTCCAGTTTCAGTGGATTTTAAATACTGGGTTTTTATATTTTGGATACTCATTACAACAAAATAAATGTCAAATACAGTTGTTCTGATGCATCTAGGCTATTTAAAACAAGTGCAATTTATAGGTGACCTATGTTTTTTTTAATGTATTATACTACTAGAATGTATATATGATTGTTAAAGTCAACAAAACCATATGAAAAATTTATTTTAGTGTTTTAATTTACTTTAATAAAAAGATAATGCTATGCATTATAATAAAATTCTGTAATTAATTTATCATATTCCAGATTTAAATTAGCAATTTGAAAGGAGTTTTCATTTTATTTAAAGTTTTGTTTATTATACAGATGTAAACTATTATTAATGTCCATAAATAAAATATTAAGTTTATGCTATATTTTTATGTATATATTGAATGATTGAATTCAAAATTATTTGTTTTGAAAGGTCACTCTAAAAGTTTTTGTTTTATTAAATTACTTTATTACATCTGTAAAATTAAATTCTCAAATGCTAATTTTTAAAATGATTAACTCAATTATTATGAAAGTTTATCTAGTATATAAAAATGCAACTTCTGGTATTTAAAAAAAATATTATCTGAAGAGTTTCTTGTTCAGATAAATTGATTAAATTAACTTTAAGAATTTCAAAAGACAATATTTTAAGATTTTATCAATATTGAATATTGTACAAGGCAGCTTCAAAAAGTTCCTGGAATTTGTTTATTACTCAAAAGTGTACAATTGACAAATCAAGCAACATGTCACCTTCAAAGTATTGTCTTTTGGCAACCACATACTTTTGTCAATACTTGTATAGCTGCTGAAAACATTCTTGGAAGTTGTCTCATGACAGCGCCTGCAACACAGATGTTGCACTCTCTATAACCTCATCCGCATTCTTGAAGTGGCATCCCTTGATGGCATCTTTGAATTAGGGAAGAGGTGGAAATCGCATGAGGTGTCCTCCATGAGCATTTGTGGCATCATGTGTTGGCAAACACAATGCATGTTCAATTGATCATTCAGGATGGAATGACAACTTTCAACCGAAATTCCTGCTGTTTTTACAATCTACTCAATTGAATCTGGCTGTCTGACTTTACAATCTTGCATAGAGCTGGCATTTTCTCCTCGGAGATTGATGTTGATGGACAACCACTTTGCAAATCAAATAGCAATACACACTCGTCCATCATAAAAGCATTTTTTCCAGTCATAAACTTGAGAGTGCTTCTTGGAAGATTTAACATAGTCATCCTGAAGCATCTTCAAGGTATAAGAAGGTTTTTCCTCCAAATAACAGACAAAATTTGATATTTGCACATTGTTCTTCCACAGATATTTTTGCCAGACTATTTATTTCATGTCTCACTAACATGACCTTCAGTGAATGATAACTGTTGTCATCTTTGCAGCGGATTTGTTTGAATGTATTTCTCTATTCATGACATATTTAACTAAGACATGCATTATGTGTTTACTTTTGCATTGCCTTTAATTGACTAACCCAGCATAATTCTGCGAACTTTTTGAAGCTACCTTATATAATACTTGTTAAAAACTTCAAATAAATTATATTCAATGAAACAAATTTAATCTAAGATACATGAGATGCATTTTCTAATCAAGATCCATTTTGAAATAAGAAAAAATCCACAAAAGATGAAAATAATTTATTATAGCTAAAAAAAGATGTACACATTTTTGTTGTTTTTCTGCATAGTCACCATAGACTTCCACACATTTTTGATATTATGTCATCAGTTTCCTTATTCCATTGTCAAAGAAGTCTGTTGCCAATGCCTTGAACCATTTAGTTATGCCATTTTATAGTTTATTGTTATTTTCAAACTACTTTGATGAAGCCATTTCTTTAAATTCAAAAACAGGTGAGAGTCACTCAACACAAGATTAGGGGAAAGGCAGGTGGCCAAAACTTGATGTTTGATCTCACACAGCATTTTGTTCGAATGTTTCAACACTTTTACTGAGAAATTTTTGACCACTCGCCTTATAGTCTTGGTCTTGTGCTAAGTGACTACCACCTGTTTTTGTATTTAAAGAAATGGCTTTCTTCAAAGGGATTTGAAAATGACAATGAACTGAAAAACATTTTTTACTGAATGGTTCAAGACATTGGCAGCAGTCTTCTTTACAATGGAATAAGGAAACTGGTGACACAACATCAAAAGTGTATGGAAGTCAATAGTGACTATTTGCAAAAATGATGGAAATGTATACATCATATTTTTTTTTTTGCTACAATAAATTATTTTTATCTTTCATGTTTTTTCTCATTTCAAAATGGATCTTACTTTATTGATACAAACATGAGGCGTGTTTTTAATTTGTGAATAAAAGTCATAATTGACTGAGTGAAAACATTAATCAATCATGCACATGGTTTTATTTAAAAAAAATAATTTAAAATTAGTATATATTGACAGTTGATATCAGGATCCAGCAAAGCTGAATTTAAATGCTGTTTTAAGACAAATTTTTATTTAATCAATACATCATTTAATGGATTTTTTTAGTGTCAAGTAGTAGTAATTGAAAATATGACTAAACTGATTAAAAATCTTTTTCTTTTATTATTATTATTAATAAGTATATTTGTTTTTTACTTTAATTACATGAATAACTCATGATAATTGCAAGTACTATTAAAGATTCTTACTTAATTGTACTGTAATTGAGTACACAAAAATTCAAATTTTTCTTCTTTTCTGACTTACAGAGGTGTAAAACTTTCAGAAATTCGAATTCTGACTCCATCATTTAAAAAATTTTTTAATTTATTATTAAAGATTATTTTTGAAGAATTGACTATAATTTGTGAATTTCAAAATGTTTCTAAATTCAGAAATTGAAAGTAAAGTATTTTTATATGAATTTCATTTATTCAAATTTTTGCGGTGACAATTGTTTATTTAACAATGTATACTTACAATAAAATTTTTGAGAATTCATTATTACATGATTATAAAATCTTAAAACTGTATTTAAAAATTGAAAAATGATCTTAAAAATATTGTTAGTAAGTTTTTTCCGAGTTAAAGATGTTATGATTTACATCATTAAAACCATTATCAGAATTTTTATATTTAATAAGTTTATAATAAATTCCATATAATATATCTTTAATTATATCTTAATAAGCAAAATAAATAGAAACTTTTAGAGTAGCCTTTCTTTCATGGAAGAAAATATATATATAATTTTAAAATTCTAAATTATTTTTTAAAGTAATATAATAAATAATTTTAGCATTGAAATAGAATCTGTATTGGTTATACTAATTTTTTATTTTGTAGAAAAAACAAATAAAAAAAACAAATATAATAATGGGTTTATTGTTAACATATCAATTGCATATTGGAAAATTATTTTCATTTTACTGAATTGTAGTTGTCAGTTCTGATACTCTGTTAACAGCAATAAAATTTTAGTGGGATTTAAGACAGTTATTCTTGCATATATGTATACTTGTGCAATTTATCTTGTAAATAATGATTACTTAATTATAAAAATGTATATATAGTGTATGTTTCTGATGCATTTGTAAATAATATGTAATCATCCATTAATTAATATTTAATATAAAATAAAAAGTATGAACAGTTAGACTGTCATAAACTATTTTAATATGTATTATTTTTAATTTTCATACAATCTTGCAAATGGTGAATTTTAAATTAATTGTTAACAACAATTGAAGTGATTAGCCAAATATATTATAAATATTAACTTATATTAACCAGCATATATGGCAAATAATTTTCAATTCAAAATTTGGTTTATACTTACTGTATTTAATTAATCTCCAAACATAAGATAGGATACAGCATGATAGAACTATCTGATTTATTGCATATTTATTCACATATACAGTATACAGTAGCCTATGGCAAAAGCAAGTAATAAAGTTACATCACTTTCATTGAGATACTACCCTTAATATCTTAGAATTTATTTATAATTCATACCAAAAGACGCAGGCAACTGGATTTATGTTAAGACACCAAAGAATTGCTACAAATCTTCAGTGAGTTGTGTTGTTTTAATTTGTAAGAACTAATTTACATGATTTTCAATCAATAAACAAATTCAAGCCAAAATCCAACATCTACAATGAAATACTAATAATTTACACATCATAGTTTATCACAATAGTATTTCTATATGTGGTATAAAAGATAAAGGTTTGAGTTTTATAGCAGCTATTTAAGTCATTCTCTAGTATTAGAGAGTTTTTTCAAATTTAGAGTTATGTATATGATGCTGTAAGAAAAATGATTTACTTTTTGTCACTTGGAATTCTTTTAGAATTTTATTTTTGCATATGATTTGATTGGTAAAGAAAGATGTTAAAAAGACAAGTAGCATATTATATTATATTCATCTAAATCTAAGTTGTTAACTCTAAATATTGTAATACTTAATTAAATGTATCATCTTACATTAATTAAAGTCACAATTTATAAATAGAAGTTAAACATCCTTAAATGGAATTATCTTTTATCTTTAGAAAGCTACAAAAATTAATACATTTTAAAAATAATTGTAAAATATATACATACACTGTATATTCAATTCAAAATGTCAATTACAAAACTTGTCAAACTTTCATAAAATACAGGGTGAACAAAACTGTGCCAATATTTTAGGGATAGCTTTTATGGTCAAAAATAAGTTTAAATCCTTTATAAATGTTTTTCAAATTCTGCTTTGTTTTTGAGATTGGGTCTGTTGAAAAAGGTTCTTTTCAAATTACACACTAAAATATATATATATACTTGGGCAACATTTATTTTCTCAATACATTGATGGATGGAAGCATTAAAATATATATATAATATTTTTTAATGCTTCCATCCATCAATGTATTGAGTAAACTTAATATTGTATTATAAAGACTAATGTATTGAGCTTATATTCTTATAACTCTGTAATGTATGAGGACATCTCAAAATGATGCCATTTTCTCACACACAATGAGTGCTAAATGCTATATGCAAAATAAATGTTGCCCAAGTATACTCTCCTGTAATAAATGTAAACAACACATTTTAAGATTTTGCATTATTCATCTGCTTTATAATAATAGCGAAGAAAAAGAATAATTGGAAAGCAAGAGTTTTTCAATTAAATTTACTCTGAATAATAATTCATTTTTTACAAAACAGAATAATTTACAAGAACTGCTCAAAATGCCCTCTATGGATGTGGGTGGACATTTGCTACTAATAAAAACAATTGAAGCTCATACTCCTATTAAAACAA